TCTATTAAACTTCATGATTCTTTTCTGGAAATTGAAACTGCTGCTGTACATATCCTTTGTAATTTCCCATTCGTAGCAGTTATGTGGAAAATTTTCTCTAATCTGGCCTTATTATTACTCGGAATAGTTTAGTCACAACTCAGACATTTCAGATGAATCTGACTGCAGCAGATTTTATTTTTGATTTATTGTTTAGTGATTGTTATTGGCAAATAGTGTTTAGTGATTGTTATTGGAAAATAGGCACAATCTAATTCAATTATAGTGCCCAAAAAAAATAAAAAAATAAAAAAAAGTATACAAAAAATAAATAAAAAAGGCACAATCTAATTCAATTATAGTGCCCAAAAAAAAAAATAAAAATAAAAAAAAAAAGTATACAAAAAATAAAAAAAAGTTATAGAACATTTTTCAAGTTCACTCAATTGATAACTACATTGTATTACTCTGATTTGATGGTGAAAAATTATAACCCTAATTCCTCTAATAGAACATAAAATTGACATCCCTCTTTTTAAAGAAAAGCCCGGGATAGCCAAAACATAATCAAACTCTCCATCCCATCCGTAATGAAATAACCTTTAAATATTCGTAGTGAAAAGTGTCAAAATAGTTCTCCGACTCTTTGTAAAAGGTCATTTTGTTCACAAAAGAGTTTATAAAAGTATCGATACAGTTCATAGACTCTTTTAATACGGGTTGAAATTGCGTCAATAAAGACTATTTCAGCCTCAATTGAAAGAGTTTAGGAACTTATTTGATATTTTTATAGACTCTGGGACTACAATAACCTCATGTAATCAGTCAGGCCACTATTTTGACATTATGGTCGAGTAAATCTGCACATCATGTTTTGTTGGTAGTACAAAACTTGAGAATTGAACTGTGCCTGATTTGCAGCCCCTGGGTGACCTGGGAACACTGGAGGTCGCAGAGAATGGGGACGCTCACTTCTCGGGTTCCAAAAAGCAGCTCATAGTCTCTGCTCTCATAGGCCGCTCGATCGCAGTCTATGAGAAGGAAGACAAATCAGACTCCGGCATTGCAGCCGCAGTCATTGCAAGAAGCGCGGGAGTAGGTCAGAATTACAAGAAGATCTGCACCTGCGATGGCGTCACCATATGGGAGTCCACTTAGTTTTCTTTCTTCAAACTGGTATGTTTCTTTCTACTCTCCTACCCTTCTACTCCAATAATAATAAACTTAGAAATATAACTAAATTGTGCATACAAATTTTCGTGTTTAATGTTTTATGTTTCATTTGCTACAATTGCATGATTTGTTTCTTTAAATTGTGTTGATTCGTATTATATTTATTCATCTGACATCTAAATCTGTATAATTTTCTTGTTAATCATTTGCGTCTCAATCATATCAAAGTATATTCATGAAGTGAGAATCTTTCTTTTTAACATATCTAGCTATTAAATTGAAATTTATATTAGGATTTTTAAGAGAGCAAAAGCTGAGTGAAGCTGCTGCTTCTGTTTGAAGAAATAGCCGTGAAGTTGCTACAAAAGAAATTCTTGTATAATTATCAAAAGAAATTGATGTTAATAAAATTATGGCTATTATAAATTTATTTTATTCTTAAAATGACAAATAGTCACCACACTTAGCCAAGTTAGGTCGCAAAATATAGCTTTCCACCGTAGTTTTTTAAAAAAACAAGCAAAATGTAGTTTTGCCAAACACATGAAACTACTTTGTGGTGCAGCGCGGTGTGGCGCCCCCCAAACACGAGAAAATATTACATTAGAAGTCCTGATGTACTTTCATGTGCGAATATTAGTATTTAAGTGTTATTGATAGTATTGTAGTGTTATATTACTAAAATAACATCACAATATTATCACTCCAATAAAACCATCCGCACCTAATCCGGATGTAATATGTTTCTCCCTAACAAAGATCGATCTCTGTGAGGCACCCTTGGCTACATGAAAACGATGGTTTTTGTGAAAAAAAGAAGATATTTTGAAAGTTAATCATCGAATCTTTTGAGGAAATTGAATCGCAAATCCACATGCCAAACTTATAAAAAGCCTCGATTCCAGTACGTTTTTGTTGAAAGCCTGCACTCTCAACCGATAAATATAAAATGTTTCTTTTTACTTATTTAAAAATGTAAATATCAGTTTTCTTTTTCCTAAAATGTTTTGGGGGCATTTACATATATACCATCCATTTCATATGTATTTATATATCTAATAGCCGGTTTTTTAAATTTTTTTACATTTATATCATCCAAATGTTTCATATCACATAAAAATGACACTTTTAATTTTTAGAAAGTGAAAGACGCCTTTTTTTTTTTTAATGCACATCATGTAAAAATCAAGTTTGAAGTGTTCAATATGTAAATACAAGGAATTGAGAGGTATATATGTGAATATTCCAATTGTTTTTTTGTAGATTTGATTGTAAACAAACAAAAAAAGGGCTAAATTATAAATGTATCATTTTAAAATAATAAAGCTTCTTGCACGTGGAAATATGAACGCATCGCTTCTCTTCTCCTTTAAAGACTTGAATGCCAGAGAAAAAAAAAAATCCTCTGCCTTCTTCATCGGGAAACGGGCTCAGTACATTGCAATCTATTTCCCTCTCCTAATTCCACCATAGAAATCCAATTTTGGGTTTGAATTCCTGCCCGAAATCAGCTTGCATGCGGTGTCCGATCCAGACTGTAAATCACCTAATCTACGGTCTGGATGTATTTCGATGGGCCTCACCTAATTTTTTTTTGTTAAAAAAAACAGAAATAATCCTGCGTGATCTACGGTCACGCGTGATCTACGGTCACGATCACGATCACGATCAGACACCGCATGCAGAGATGCATGTGATGTCCGTACGCAATAATTTCTCATTTATCGGGCATGCTTAATTGAGTTGGTTTAATGCAGGATTTTGAATCAAAAAATAGTCAACTGAACTTCTCTCTTATAAATATTAATATATATAAATTTCATGTATGTCGCAGACTACAAAAAATTGGGTACTGGTGTGCTTTGGAGAAATAAACATGCAAATATTAAATGTTGGCTTAGATAAAATTGGGTAATGTTTATCGTCTTGCCGTCGTCCTTCTCTACAGAATCCGGACTGTCTGTTTTCTAAATGAAAAGCATATGGATTTGAACATTTAAAATAGGTCTATTGTGATGTATATATGTTAGATATATAAATAAATGATAATTATGGGGTAATTGTGTAAATACATAAGAATTTAGTACAGGTCATAACTGGTACGAAACTGAAACAACGAAAACAAAGAAAACAGATTTCAATTTCAACAAACAGATGGAAATCAACTCGTCATGTAAAACAGATCATATGCTAAAAGGCCAAACATGTAAAAAAGAGAAAAAAAACAAAACCAATTCCAAATCCAAATCCTTCGTGGCTATTAAAAATATAAAAATATGCCCTTGCTAAAGCTCACCATAACACTGCGACAGCCGCCGCCAGCCCCACAAATGAAGAACTCACCTTCACCACTAGTGCCAACGATTTGTCGTCCTCCTTATCCGCCGCTTCGTCCGGCGATTCAGAAGCCGGAGCCGTCACCGGTGACTCAGTCGCCGGAGCAGTCACCGGCGACTCAGGTGGCGATATGAATGCCGGCGCCGGAGTCGGCACCTTCGCAAGCTTCGGTGTCGGTGCTGGTGCGGAAACAGGCGTTGCACCCTGGGGAATGGGGGTCACATTAGCTTCTGCCGGCGCCGGCGCCGGCGCCTTCCCGAAGAGCTCCTCAGGCAGGAGGACGCTTTCCATGGTCAGAACGCAAACTGGAGTTTCGTCGAGCACCGTGCGAGCAATGCGGGAAGAATCCACACCTGTGTGAATCGTGACGTCGTCCCCTTGAACAGAGACGGTGATCTCGTAGTTTCCCGCAGCGCCGGACGCCATAGTGGCGATCGGATGATGCGCCGTCTTAAGAGAGTCCTTCGGAATGTAAGAAGCTATGGCATGGTACTGAAGCAATGTCACAAGATCGGCGCTACTCAGCGAGTTCGGATCGGGAACTCCTTTCGCCTTGAACGCCTCATCATTCGGGGCGAAAAGCGTAAGCCCCGTAACCATTGCGGCCTGGAAGATCTTGATCATGCCTGATGAGGAAATAAGCGAGGCAAAAATCTTGCAACCAGCCGTCTCGAGAATGGCGGTCAGATTCCGGTCCGAAGCAGCACCGTCGTCAATTAAGCCGGGGAAGATGATCGGATCGGAGATCTCGAGAATTGAAATGTTGTACGGGATTTGCCGAACGGATTTGGTGTAATCGGAGGTAAGTTTCGATCCTGGGATGGCGGATCCGAATGCGACGCGACCGCCGCGGAGATTGGTAATGTTGACGAAACCCTGTTCCCCGATGGCTTCGCCGGTGGTTTGGAAGAGAGTGGTGGTGATGGTGGTGCCGCCATCGATATCATGGAGCTTTTGGGGGTCGAAGTAGTCAAGTAGAACGAGGAGTTGGAGGGCTTTTTTGAGGGAGGGAGGGTTGTGGTTCGCGGCGAGAGCGGACATGACCGCATTGGGGAGAACGAGGCAGGTTAGAGTCTGACGGGAGTTCACCTCGTCGGCGATCTTCGTGGAAGACATGTAGTTATTTTGAACAGTGTAGTCAGGGAAGTTGTTGAGGATCGCCGTTATGTTGTGACAGATCGCCGGCGACAAACACGAAGCGAGCGCGACCGCCATGAGCAGGAGCAGAGAAGGTACTCTGCCCTTCTCCATTGCTATCTCTCCCTCTTCCTTTTTTTGTGTCTCACTCAATGTGCACCGGATAATATCAGAGAAATGGGTAGGGCGGTTAAAGGGGGGAGAGGGTGGTAGAGTTCGGGAGAAAATAAAGGGAGGGTCTAACGTTGCCGCTTGACCGGGATTATATTAAGCGTGGTTAAGTCATGGGTAGGGCGGTTAAAGGGGGGAGAGGGTGGTAGGGTTCGGGAGAAAATAAAGGGAAGGTCTAACGGTGCCGCTTAACCGGGATTATATTAAGCGTGGTTAAGTCAATTGGTTGGGTTAACTTGTTTGAATTGAGGGGGTAACAGACCCGTGGGACTGGGGAAGAAACGATGCGCGGGAATATTTTATAGACAGCCATATGAATTAATTGGGGTATTTACATTTATACCACTCAATTCCTCTAAATTTATATATCTAACACTTAAATTTTATTTTTTATGATTATACCACCAAAATCTTTTTCAAAGTGATATATATTTAAAAAAAAAACGTGTCTATAATTTTAAATTGGAGGGTGGGAAATTATTAATTTTTAATTTTGGGAATAAAGGAATTAGTTTCTCGTTTTTTGAGCCTAAGTGGCCATCAAATGAGACAAATTCAATAACATATGGAATATGTACAAGTCAAAATGAGTGGAGAAAATCAAATTAGTTTAAGTAGGCTACACATTATATATATATATTTTTTTTCTTCCTTGATTAGCACCTAAACAAGCTCTTTCACAATAAGCATTCAAAATTTGTGTTTAATTATGCTAATTCACCTTCAACCCTCTGATCGCCGCCTCCGCTTTTGGCTACCATCTCCCACCTTTGACCTCTTACATATCCAGCCACCAGGTAATGTCAACCGCCAACTTTGGCCGTCGCCAGCCAACTTCAATCGCCCCTGCCTTCGGCCTACATCGTCAGCTAACTACGACCAATACGACCAACTACGGCTTACATGTCTACTAGCTCTTGATGCTTTTTAATACAATTTCTATGACCAACTGAAACAACCTTCTCCGACCCACATGACCAACTACTACCATGACTTTTGATCTACAACTATTACAACATTCATGACAAACTATTGCTTTCATAACCATGACACTTGCAACCTTCCGCATACATGTTAAGATGAAAAATAATCACTCCATAAAATCCTTCCGCATGCATCACATATAATAGATTATTTCTTCTATATTAGATCGCTTGATTTTTTCCATTTTCAATTCTCTCATGTAAAAAATTTGGTAATATATTTATTTTCTTATCTATTTTTTATATAAAATATTTATACAAATTTAATAATACTAAATTTGCACCTCTTAATCATGAAAGATGTGAACTATGAAATTCTGATAATTTCAGAACCTCGGATCTCAACGCCATGCATTGCACTGCTTTTATACGCTCTACCGCAAGCTATGGTGGCGTTACCCAAACGCGGACAACGAGCCGTAGGTTACGAAAAATAATTGCGTGCTGAATCATGAGGTGTTCGATTATAATCATGAAGAATTTTAGAGCGGGTTTCATTCTAATAAAAAAAAAAATAAATAAAAAGATATATTTCAATGATTAAGATTAGATACCTCATATAAATTTACATGTGGTATCTGTATGCAATAAATGCTCGTAGATTTTTGCATGATAATCACACCCGTAAAATTTGTAGAAAAAAAAGATAAATTTTTATTTACTATTCTATCCCTGTATTTTATAAAAAAATTCAATAGCCTTAATCTTTTTTAGATATTTGAGTGAATTTACTTCACTCATATGTTTCTTGATTCTACTTGATACAAAACTAAAATAAATAACCTCTATTTATACCAGCGACAACCCAATCCAATGCCTCCTATTGATTCTCTAAAATATTGTCCTATCTTCATTTACAAAAATCATTAATTACATATTTTAGAGTTCGCTAAATTACTTCTTTTAAATATATATATATA